TGGGAGTGAATGAAGCAGATGACACACGTTGAGGAAGCAGAGCTTGAAATGTGGTTTGCGAAGGTGGTCTGCTCCAATGGAAATGATTTCTGAGAAGTCTGGGATTCTTTCTCTTGCTGTCACAAAGGGACATCTATTATTCCATGTTCTGAAATTCTCCAAAAACTCTGCTTCTTCAGTGATCTCCTTTCAAGGTTACTGAGGAAATCAAAGTCCACTTAATGATTTGTTAGGGACTGCATGATCTGACTACCTTTCTGATGCTTTTGGAGAAGGTGCAAATATCTGTTTATTTATTTAGAAAATCCATGTCAAATTATTTTTTAAGCTTTCTTTTTGTGTCATGTTGGAAATAGGTGAGTGATTTTGTTATTTGAGAAATTTTAAGAACTCTCTGGACAGATGTTATGTTTTCTACTTTATGATTTTCTATCCTAGGGAGGCTTCCAATGTGATTTTATTTAAATTCATACTCCATAATTCTACCAGGGCACAAACTATCTCTCTTGATTGAGGAAATTCTGTTATTTTATTGTTATTTTTCTTTTTTAGTATGAACTGAGATTGATAATTATTTCTACATATCCAAATTCTTAAGTATATCGCATAGAACATTGGTAAACATATATTAAACTCCCACATGTTACCTTGTTTCTTAATAACTTATTTTATAATTTTGTTTAGTATGAAGCTTAGAACTACTTTACATATATGCATATATACGTACACATATGTGCGTATGTTTATGTATATGTGATTAGCATCTGATTTTTTATTTTTTTTTTTGAGTTGCAGTCTCACTCTGTCACCCAGACTGGAGTGCAGTGGCCGCTCCCGGCTATCGCAGCCTCAACCTGCTGGGCTCCGGCGATCCTTCTGCCTCAGTCTTCCAAGTAGCTGGAACTACAGGCACGCGCTACCACACCCAGCTAATTTTTTGATTTATTGTAGAGATGAGGTCTTGCCAAGTTGCCCAGGCGGGTCTTGAACCAGCAGACTCAGGTAATCCACTCACCTCAGCCTCCCAAGGTGTGGGATTACAGAATGAGTCACTAAGCCCGGTGAACATCTGATTTTTTAGACATAAATAAAAAATATGTAACTATAAAAAAAAAAAGAAAAGAAAAGAACCAGGGTCTTACCATGTTGCCCAGGTTGGTTGCAAATTCCTGGCCTCAAGAGATTCTCTCACATCAGCCTCTCAAGTGGCTGGGATTACCAGCACAAACCACACTGCCCAGCTTCCTCTCTATCTTAACATGACCTTGTCTCCGTATCTTCCCGGATCCATTCCTTTCCTTCAGAAAATGAGATTGTTGTTCCTCTCTAAAAAGAATTTTACCACCTATCCCAAGGATTCTATATTATCCTGAATTTTCAGCGACCTTATCCTTACACATGTCTTTTTTGGTAAAATCTCTCCTTGATGCAGCTGCATTTGATAATGGTAATGAAACCACATTTTTATTACATTCTCTTATCCGACTATCATTACATTGTCCTACTTCCAGTTTTCATTGCACATCCCTAATTGTGCCTATGCTGGTTTTTCTACTCTCTTGCCCTGATCTCCCCTCCTCGCAATTCAATCTTTCTTCCTCTGTTTTCTCTATATCTACTGGAGAATGGGGTAAGGGATGAGAGGGAGTGGGAAAATAGAGGCAGGACAGAGAGGATGTTTCTGCTGGCAATCTGTCACTTCTCACATATATTGGAATGGAAAAAAGTTAAGAACTATAGTTCAGTACTCTCTATGGAGAATTCATTTATTCTCATTACTACATCCTCATTACTACATTTATGCAATAATTCCTCAACTGAATTTTTCTCTATAATTTTGGTCTCTTTTCTGAGACCCAGTCCATGCTTTTAGCAGCATAATGAACATTTATATTTTTGTTTCACTAACTGACATTTCCACTCAACACAACCAAATTTTGGCATCAATTTTCCCATCTAAAATAATTCCCTTCACACATTCCCTATATTTTGAAAGACACAAACAATCTCTATTACCTAGTTTTGAAAAAATGGTGTTATCTCCTTCTTTTCTTGTAGCCAGTTAGCGATGAATTCATCATTGGGACTGCTACATTATTCTCATTGAAGAGAGGAGGCAAATAACTCCCTATCCAAAAGAGCTACCTGCATCAATTCTTCCTGCTACAGTCACTACGGTCAGTACCTCTAGACTAATCTCAAGCTAAAAGACCACTCTCTTCAAGTCATTCCTTTATCCAGAAATGTATAACAGCTCTATTATCAGGTACATATACAGTAAACACCTGAGTCCTCTGAAATCTGACTACCTTCAACACTTTATTTACTATTTTTCTCTGCTACTGGATTTCTCAAACTTTTTCTTCTCAAAGTCCTTTACAGTCTTAAAAATATTTGGGAACCCCCCCCCCCAAATTTCTGTCTTTAGGTTATATCTGTCAATATCTACTATATGGGAAATTTAAATTGAGAAAAATTTAAAACATAAGAATACACAGGCACACATTCAATTAACTGTCAGAGCAATGTCATCACATCACGTAGCCTGGAAAACTCCACAACACTTGTGAGGGAATGAAAATGAAAAAGGTAAATAACATCTTAGTATTATTATTAAAATAGTTTTGGCTTCTAGAATCCCTGGCTGATTTTGAGAATGCTGCTCTACTTTGCTTCTCTTATCTCCCTATCGATCATTAATGATTACTTATGATTGATTTTTGTGTACATCAATGGGCTGGAAGCAGAAACAAGGTTGAGAATCACAGATTTACAAAATAATCTCCAAATTCATTAGCATGCCTGCTCATTCACAGTCTGACTCAAATTATCAATTTTTTGTCCTGTTATTACCATTTCCTTCCACTCCTGCACTGTACTTCAACTAAGGTAAGAGGTCCCAAATAGAACACAGCACTCTTTTCTGCTTCAACATCTTTGAATACACTATTCCCTTGGCCCAAAAGGCCTTCTCTCATTCATCTTTCAGACCTAGTTTACAGGTTCTCTCTTCTATGAAGTCTTCCTGTGACACATCCTATCCTCAATCACCCTTTTCTCTGTACTTCTGTAGCACATTAGAGCTGCTTGTTTTGCACTGTAATTATTGTTTATATGTCTGCCACCCCACTAGATAGCAAGCTACATGAGAGCAGACTTGCATCATACTCATCTCATCTTTGCATTTCTAGCACCTCACACATAATGGGAACTCAAACATTTGACCACTCACTTGAATCTGTCTGAACCTGAACTTGACTCTTGAATCTATCTCCAAATACTCCTGACAAAAATACTTGCTCCTTCCTCTGAATTTCTGAAATATTATGTAGAAACTAAAAAAAAGAGAAAAGACTAAAGAAAACACATAGTTAGTTCTTCCTACAAAAAAGATTGAGAACTTTGGCCCACAGGACCAAGTCTAACTAGCTAAAAACCTCGGTCAAGTGGCTCTTTCACCTTTTCAATTTTATTATTCTTCAATATTAACTTACCACTTTTGTCATCTAATAAACACACACACACAATACTTATTCTATTTTCATTCCTTTTGTTTATATTCTTACCTCCCCCAGGGATTCCATTGCTCTGCTATTCCAAATTATCTTCTTTAAAAGCTTGGTTCAAGGCCCACAAATTCCATGAAGCTTTCTAGGACTATGCCACACCAAAGGAAAATTTCCCATTTTTAGATTGCTGATGCATTTCCATTTGTTTCATATGACCTAGCATTCATTGTTCTTAAACAATTTCAAGTAAGTCAATGCTGCAACCTCAAATAGTTTGACAGCTTTTCAAGACCAGGCACTGTCTTCACACCAAATATCTGAGTGCCATTATGCACCAGATAATGGAAAAGTTTCTCATTTTGTTTCTCTTGTACCAGCTCTTGCTAGTAACAGGAAGATAAAGGCATGAAATTAATTTTATTCCCTCTGCTTGATTTTCTTCCTAAAGGATTAGAATAATCCAGCGTTTTCCTTTCCTTTTTTTTTTTTTTTTTTAAAGACAGGGTCTTGCTATATTGCCTAGGCTGATCTTGAACTCCTGGGCTCAAGTGATCCTCCCTAGTAGCTGGGATTACAGACAGATGTCACTATGCCTGCTTGATTATTTTTTTCTAGGGAACTTTTATTTACAAATATAACTATCAATTAAATCAATAAAACTGGTGCTGTGAGATATATCTTCTAAGCACCCTAAAACTGCAAGCTTAAATAAGACACTTCATTTGCAGGTGACTCACTCTAAGCCTTCAATATACTTACTTTTGAATGCTCTTCCCTGTTTTGCTCCTTCACCTCAGATGTATCTTTTCTTATTTTAGTTGTTACGGTTTTATCTCCTTCAACACATTCTGATGCATGGTTACTGGTAATAATACTGGTAATAATACAAGTAATAATGCAAGTAAAAATCATGCACAAAATGAAAACAATCTTTGAAAACCAAGAAGTCATGGTAATTGGGTCTCAGACCAATGTTTTTCCTTAAAAGGAATTTGTCTAAAGAGCCTCATCTTCCCTACCACGATTCCTTAAGTAATCCACACCCAAATGGGGCAAGGAAAATAGACTGAACGTCAAAACCTACTCATGATATCATGGATTGATGGTAACTTCTTAAGATCACTTTCTCCAGTTCTTCATCCTCTTGCAATACGTGATAAGGTCAGTAAGAAGAAATAACATAGGAAAATGTCGTTCACAATAATAAGGTTTAAGATGCTCTAAGTCCTACTTGTTTGTAAGTCTAGCAACCACAAGTAAATATTGAACTCTTATTTTAAACACCACAAGAGAAACCTGAGGTCAGGGGCAATTCTTTCTGACATCTATATGTATATATGGGAATATTCTTTCAACGTGGAATGAATTTTGTGTAGGAAGGGGCCTGATGAAGAAAGAAAAGCGGAAACCATCAGCTGACATGAAGTAGCACCCCGCCCCCGTTTGCCCCCTCCCCAAAAGCCGAAGGAAGTAGAAATCTGCAGAATGTACCTTCCAGGCCAGGAGTAAAACATTGAGAATGGCCAGCAAAGGGCAGGGTCCATTCTCATTCTGGGTGATGATGGGTGTGTTCTCTTCCTTCCATTGGATCCACTTGATGTGATACACAGATTGTCCCGGGAAGCGTTCCTTGGAGGCCGCCAGCACCTGAGCGCTCTCCTCCTCCTCCTCCTCCCTGCACAGGGGGACAGCGCCGGGCAGCGCCGCCGCGCCCTCCTCGTCCTCGGGGACCCTGTTCTCAGCTCCCTCCTCACTGTTGAACTCGGAGCTACTGGGGAAAGAATGCAGGTTGGAGAACGACTCCAGGGAGTCCAGGCTCGGCGACTCCCCAGGAGGGCTCGGGTCGCTGCAGCTGCTGCTGACGCCGCCGGCGCTGCTGGGCTCCTCGGAGCCGGCCGCCGCCAGCTCTGCCCGGCAGGTGCCGGCGGGGTCCGCGCGAGCTCGCGCGTCTTCGGCCGGCCCCGGCCCATGACCCGTTCCGGCCTCGGCTGTCTCTGGGGGGGCGGTCACCTTGTGCTGCCCTCTCAGAGGTGCCTCGGCGGCGGCAGGGCTCTCCAAAGCGCTCTCCTCCAAGTCCACGCCCGGGAGGGAGCCGCAAGGTCCGGGTAGCTGAGGCGAGCCCGCGGGAGAAGCCGAGTCCGGGAGGCTCCTCCCGGCGGCCGCCGCCCCCTGCCCATTCCTGCCGCCGCTCTTCGCCGCCCAGACCTCAGGACCGTCCCCAGCAGCGAGCCTGCTCTCCTGTCGCCCTTCCTGCGAGGAATCCGTCCCCGGCGCTGGCCCGGCCGCCACCCCGTGTTCTAGCGGCTGCAGGCTCTCGGGGGTGCTCTCCATACCGGGCCTCCCGCCTCGCTCTATAGAGACCGCGGCAGGCTCTCCTCAGCCAGCGCCTCCGACGCCATGACAGCGGCTCTGGCATCAACAGCGCCCTATCGCGGCTTCGGCCAGGCACGTCACCGGGGAGGG